GTTAGAAGCGTTCGAAATGTGGTGTTATAGGCGGATGATGAGGATATCGTGGGTAGAAAAGGTTAGAAATGAAGAGGTATTGGAAAGAATAGGAGAACAGAGGACTCTATGGAAGTCAATAAAAAATAGGCGAGATAGGTTGGTAGGATACATTCTCAGGTATGAAGGTCTAGTCAGAGACATATTAGAGGCAGAAACAGGAGTTAGAAGGGGTAAAGGTGGACCTAGATTATATTACTGTTCGCAAATAGTTAAGGATGTGGGCTGTTCTAGTTTTAGGGAAATGCGAAGTTTAGCACAGGATAAGAAAGAGTGGAGGTACGTGTCCAACCAGTCTTAGGACTGATGACTTTATGATGATGATGACTGTACAGTTCTAGCCGATCTCCTAAGACCGCCCATCGAGAGCTCTGTTCGTTCAAGCTTGTTTCAACTGTTTCTGTCTTGCTCACGCCTAGTGTGCATTCTTTCTATCTTCGCGCAGATTTCTTCAAGGTCACAATTCTAACAACTTGAAATAGACTGTAGATACTATGGATATGNGGTGTAATTATTAGATACAGAACAACACAATCAATAATAATTTAAAGATTTTACGATGCACAAAGAGAGTGGCATGTTTTGCTCATGGGGTGAAATCCATTTGTCAAGAGCATCCTGTTAATTTTTAGTGCATTTCGTTAAGACCGCTGATGCATTTACCAGAAATGAACAAAAAGAGTACTGCAAATAGACGAGACTTTGTTTTCATTTCGTGTAACACTATATCTTTCGGCGTCTAATGCATTTAGAGCAACAGCGAAATTTCAAGCTACTGAAAGGGGAGCTTACATATGTCAACTTCACTATTAAGATGGATAGCTCATTACGACCACACCCACTCTATCACGCTCGTAAAAGAAGTTGAAGAGGAACGAGAAGTACCGCTGCTTTTTTCGAAGCAATGAATGGCGTAAACGAGTTAAAATTTAAAGGGCCGTTCAACGCACCCCTTCAATCCTTCAACATGCAGATTTCAGCCAAATAAAAATAAACTCGTAACTGGCGTGATGGTATCTTCCATACATATAGCAGTGGCAAGTTGAGAACTGAGCATAGGGATATAGTAAAAGCTCTTTATTCGCGGGGTATACGTTCCATAAACATGCCGCGAATACAGAAACTGTGGATATGGAATGGTAATTAGTACGGAATCAGAGGGGATACGTTCTAAAGTTCCGAAATAAAACCAATATGTATCAAAATAAAATCAATGTATTGATAAATTCGCAATTAAAATTAATCGTTATAGTCAGCTTTAGGCAACAGTGTAAATAATTTAATGATTTTTTCTTGTATTGAATTTTGAAATTAGTCCATTTGGTTACATCTTTTATAAAAGTCGCCTCGGCACGAGTCAACAGTACTCAAAAGATGCTAATACGTTGAAAAATAACACCGAATCCTTTTCCACTAAGTTATATTTTTTATAAAAACTGCTTCGGCACGTAACAACTGTACGTACACAAAAGAGGTCGATACTTTCAGGGGATTCAGATTATCGGTTCTAGATATCATGAGTTTAATGTTTGGAACAGGGGTTTGAAATTTTGTAATAAGATATATAAAGGTTTGTTCTGAAGTCTGTCGAAGGAATTTTTTAATTTCTATTGAAAATACGTGTCCTACAGGAAGCATCAATTTTAAGCACTTATAAAAGCTTTTAATGGCCATATTATTGAAAACCAAAAAGGTACCGAATTAGTGTGAACATTTGTCTGTTACCATACAAAAAATCACATATTTATCTAGCCGCATTAAATCACAATGTTTAGAATAGAAGCCCATGTATTCGGAAAAATTCACACTAGTCGCGAGCGGTCTATTGCGGTCAATCCCCATAATTAATGACATCGAATCCTTTTCTGTTTATCGATTGCATCCGCGAATAATGAAAACGCGAATAAGGAAATCACGAATAGGGAACTTATTCTGTAATGAAGTTAAATCAGTGATATGAATTTTTGAATCAAAGAACAAAAGTCGGTTTCTTTTTAAATACTTAATTTATTTTATTATAGTTAACTAACGCCCTGCACATTAAACTCACGTTGAATTTAGGTATATGATAATACCTATTTTCCTCTTTAAAAAGAAAAAACAATTATCGTAGTAGATATATATATTTACATATTAAATTTTCTCGATGGATCATTNTCTTTATTCGCGGGGTATACGTTCCATAAACATGCCGCGAATACAGAAACTGTGGATATGGAATGGTAATTAGTACGGAATCAGAGGGGATACGTTCTAAAGTTCCGAAATAAAACCAATATGTATCAAAATAAAATCAATGTATTGATAAATTCGCAATTAAAATTAATCGTTATAGTCAGCTTTAGGCAACAGTGTAAATAATTTAATGATTTTTTCTTGTATTGAATTTTGAAATTAGTCCATTTGGTTACATCTTTTATAAAAGTCGCCTCGGCACGAGTCAACAGTACTCAAAAGATGCTAATACGTTGAAAAATAACACCGAATCCTTTTCCACTAAGTTATATTTTTTATAAAAACTGCTTCGGCACGTAACAACTGTACGTACACAAAAGAGGTCGATACTTTCAGGGGATTCAGATTATCGGTTCTAGATATCATGAGTTTAATGTTTGGAACAGGGGTTTGAAATTTTGTAATAAGATATATAAAGGTTTGTTCTGAAGTCTGTCGAAGGAATTTTTTAATTTCTATTGAAAATACGTGTCCTACAGGAAGCATCAATTTTAAGCACTTATAAAAGCTTTTAATGGCCATATTATTGAAAACCAAAAAGGT